ATTTTTTATTTTTATTTTTATTTTTTTGGGGGGGTGGGGCAAGGGGGGGTAGAAGGATTACTTTATCCTATCCCAGGTATTCCTAAAAGAGGTGGGGTTTCAAGTGTCTCCGAAAGGTGGTGAGTGACTCCGCTGTCCTGGCGTCGTGAGGGAGCTTGTTCCACCAATGGGGTGCCAGAGCAGCGAACAGTTTTGACTGGGCTGAGCGGGAACTGTGCTTCCGCAGAGGTAGGGGGGCCAGCAAGCCAGAGGTGGATGAATGTGCGTTACTAATCACAACAGCATCTTGACATGCATGCTTCCAACATTAATCTCAGATACAGGAATGGAAAGTATATATTCTATACTATACTGGTGGAGAATAATATATTATTTATATTAATAGTGGAGCTTTAAAATCCCTGCAGATATTATTGTGTCCCAAGATTGCCCACAAGAGGGCACTGATGTTGACCTACAGTGCCTTGCAAAAGTATTCATCCCCCTTGGCGTTTTTCCTATTTTGTTGTATTACAACCTGTAATTTAAATGTATTTTTATTTGGATTTCATGTAATGGACATATAGAAAATAATCCAAATTGGTGAAGTGAAGTGAAAAAATTACTTGTTAAAAAAATTCAAAATAGTAAATAACGGAAAAGTGGTGCATGTGTGCAATCTAAGTGTCACATGATCTGTCACATGATCTCAGTATATATACACCTGTTCTGAAAGGCCCCAGAGTCTGCACCACCACTAAGCAAGGGGCACCACCTAGCAAGCGGCACCATGAAGACCAAGGAGCTCTCCAAACAGGTCAGGGAGGACAAAGTTGTGGAGAAGTACAGATCAGGGTTGGGTTATAAAAAAATATCAGAAACTTTAAACATCCCACGGAGCACCATTAAATCCATTATAAAAAAATTGAAAGAATATGGCACCACAACAAACCTGTCAAGAGAGGGCCGCCCACCAAAACTCACGGACCAGGCAATGAGGGCATTAATCAGAGAGACAACAAAGAGACCAAAGATAACCCTGAAGGAGCTGCAAAGCTCCACAGTGGAGATTGGAGTATCTGTCCATAGGACCACTTTAAGCCGTACACTCAACAGAGCTGGGCTTTACGGAAGAGTGGCCAGAAAAAAGCCATTGCTTAAAGAAAAAAATACGCAAACACGTTTGCGTTTGAACACAGCTTCTATCAAAGCTTCTATTTTACATTTACATTTACGTCATTTAGCAGACGCTCTTATCCAGAGCGACTTACAGTTAGTGCATACATTATTATTTTTATTTTTATTTTCATACTGGCCCCCCGTGGGAATCGAACCCACAACCCTGGCGTTGCAAACGCCATGCTCTACCAACTGAGCTACCTCCCTGCTGGCCATTCCCTCCCCTACCCTGGACGACGCTGGGCCAATTGTGCGCCGCCCCATTTGTCTCCCGGTTGCGGCCGGCTACAGCAGAGCCTGGATCAAAGCTGTGTTCGCCAAAAGACATGTGGGAGACTCCCCAAACATATGGAAGAAGGTACTCTGGTCAGATGAGACTAAAATTCCGCTTTTTGGCCATCAAGGAAAACGCTATGTCTGGCGCAAACCCAACACCTCTCATCACCCCGAGAACACCATCCTGGTGGTGGCAGCATCATGCTGTGGGGATGTTTTTCATCAGCAGGGACTGGGAAACTGGTCAGAATTGAAAGAATGATGGATGGTGCTAAATACAGGGAAACCTGTTTCAGTCTTCCAGAGATTTGAGACTGGGACGGAGGTTCACCTTCTAGCAGGACAATGACCCTAAGCATACTGCTAAAGCAACACTCGAGTGGTTTAAGGGGAAACATTTAAATGTCTTGGAATGGCCTAGTCAAAGCCCAGACCTTAATCCAATTGAGAATCTGTTGTATGACTTAAAGATTGCTGTACACCAGCGGAACCCATCCAACTTGAAGGAGCTGGAGCAGTTTTGCCTTGAAGAATGGACAAAAATCCCAGTGGCTAGATGTGCCAAGCTTATAGAGGCATACCCCAAGATACTTGCAGCTGTAATTGCTGCAAAAGGTGGTTCTACAAAGTATTGATTTTGGGGGGGTGAATAGTTATGCACGCTCAAGTTTTCTGTTCTTTTGTCTTATTTCTTGTTTGTTTCACAATAAAAAATATTTTGCATCTTCAAAGTGGTAGGCATGTTGTGTAAATCAAATGATACAAACCTCCAAAAAATCCATTTTAATTCCAGGTTGTAAGGCAACAAAATAGGAAAAATGCCAATGGGGGTGAATACTTTCGCAAGCCACTGTATATGCTACAGTGATGACAAATGTGAAACCATGTTACATGGTGAGCCTACAATGTTACACTTTAGGGAAATTGCTTTTAAAGAGTACTTCAATGAACAAGGAAATAAACTATTTAGATTTCTACTCCATTAGTTTGCAAAAATTGTAACATGACATTATAACGCTTGCCTTTGAAGTGAACCTTTTGGCGTAAAAAGGAACTGTCCAACATGTGTGATCATTATTTTCCAGGATGAACAACACAATAAAATCGGCTACATTTATTCGTAACCTCAACTATGGGGTTTGACGAAAACTGTCTGATATCTTGGACCCTCAAGACAGCTGGAAAGACGTTCTTGTTTCTATACACAAACCCACAGGGGAGCCAAAGTACTCTCAGGTACTCACATTTAAGGTAATGTGCTGATCATCTACTGTACTTCTCTGATGGGAGTGACACCAAAGTTGTCATCTTTCATGACAAAATTGTTACCTTCTATCAAAGCTGTCTGTTACTTTGTAACATAAGCATTGTAATCATCAGATGCTGATTTTTGGTTGTTTCGCTCATGGGCTGCTCTATTCTTGAACCTACCTTCAAATGACAGGAGATTTGAAGCTGGGGGACATCTAACAGAACTGTGAGAGAGTTGACATCTTGATGAGCCACAGATGAATGGCTGCAGCCAGTATTCTGCTACCGGGTGTGCTACGGTCAATGTGTGTGTTTCATCAAAGATATTGTATTGACTCTGTCTATTACACTCGCTATTTTTGATCGTCCTGTATAGATTTCTTCTATGTATTCACACAGACATAAACAACCTCTGCTCAGCCATCCCCCAGCCACCTCCCAGCCAACTGTGTCTTCAGGGGAAAAAGAGACAGTAAACAACGCTGAAACCAGAACCCTGGGAAGGACAGCCACTTCCAGACAGCACCTCAGAGACGCAGGAGGAGGAGGAACCTAATGACACGGCAGGTGGACTAATGTTGTATGACCTGCATATGCATGTGTTATAACCTCTGGAGGTGTTATGAGCCCCCAAAACATAGTAATACATGTGGTTATATAGATTCTATATAGATTATAGGTTATTTTACTGGTGGTTTAATTACATAGATATGGTGACAAGAAGCTATTATAGATTGTGTTAAGTGAAATGATCTGTGTAAAGTAGGCCTATTTGACTGATTGATTGATCCTGTTCAGAAATGTGTGTCACAATGCACACAATATCCAGTAGATGGCAGCATTTGTGCAGTGCTCAAAAAACGATTGTACTGTACCAAGACTGTCCCTTATGAACAGGTTTGTCCATTGATTCTCAGGAGGCTTTCTTTCCACGAGCTGAAGAAGATAACTGGTCATTTTGATGAGAGGCCAGTGAGTGACGATGGGAGCAGACTTGGTGAGGGCGGCTTTGGAACGGCCTACATAATTTTACATTTTAGTAATTTAGCAGACGCTCTTATCCAGAGCGACTTACAGTTAGTGAGTGCATACTTTTTCATACTGGCCCCTCTGGCCCCCCGTGGGAAATGAACCCACAACCCTGGCGTTGCAAGCGCCATGCTCTACCAACTGAGCTACAAAGGCTTCATCAACGGCAAACCTGTGGCAGTGAAGAAACTTCATTCAGTAGGTACCATTATAATCTGTGGCAATAACACTATTCATATTGTACACAGAGTATACAAAACATTTGGAACACCTGCTCTTTCCATGACATAGACTGACCAGGTGAATCTAGTTGAAAGATATGATCCCATATTGATGTCACTTGTTAAATCCAGTTCAATCAGTGTAGATGAAGGGGAGGAGACAGGTTAAAGAAGGATTTTTAAGCCTTGAGACAATTGAGACATGGATTGTGTATGCATGCCATTCAGAGGGTGAATAGGCAAGACAAAATATTTAAGTGCCTTTGAACGTAGGTACCAGGCACACTGGTTTGTGTCAAGAACAGCAACGCTGCTGCGCTTTTCACGCTCAACAGTTTCCCGTGTGTATCAAGAATGGTCCACCACCCAAAGTACATCCAGCCAACTTTACACAACTGAGGGAAGCATTGGAGTCAACATGAGCCAGCATCCCTATGGAACTCTTTCGACACCTTGTAGAGTCCATGGCCCCGATGAAGGTGTTCCTAACATTTGGTGTACTCAGTGTGTGTATGAGTTCTCCACATTTAATTAAACAGCACATTCTCAAAGGTTACTAAAACTTCAGTTGCTTTCTCTTTTAGACGGAAGACATCTCACTTGAGGAGCTAAATGTTCAGTTCATTGAAGAGGTGCAAACTCTTATGGTGTAAGTGTCTATTTCCTGCTCTTCTATTGTTCTATTGTAGGAAGTCCTTATAAGCTAGCTGACCTACTGTGCGACCACTTCATAACCATTGCAGCTCTATTTCATTAACAGAAGCAATAGCTAGCGTGTGCTCAATATCTCAATCTCTCAATAAATCATCTTCATGGGTCTCTGCTGTAATAAAATCAACAGAGAAATGTCCTGAGAGAATGGCTTAGAGAGGGACTGCCTTTTACTTAGGAGCTGTCCAGATATCGGTTTTAGATTGAATGGATATTACTAGATTTGATTTAGCTTGAATTGTCTTTATGGTTTAAAGAAAAGGCTACTGTTTGTTTGATGAGAGGCTTCTTGTTCCACAGGTTGAAACATGAAAACCTGGTAGACGTAATCACCCTTGTTTGGTGTATGCTTACATGTCCAATGGTTTGTTGCTAGACCGGCTGGCTTGCTTGGTAAGCATACACACTGTACAATATCGGCATTTCTTTTTAATTGTAGCTACCTTTATTTATAGAGAATCATTGAGATAAAATCGATTTTGGAAGAGAGACCTTTTACAGGGGCTTTCTCTTTAGGATGAATATGTTTGTGTGGTTGTAGGACGGTAGCCCTGCTATGTCCTTGTACAGGAGATGTCTGACCGCCTTGGGAACAGCCAGAGGCTTGGATTATCTGCACAGCAACAACCATGTCTACAGAGATGACAAGAGGTAACTGTGGAAGTTTTTAATAAATTCCTTTCCTATGCCACTTGATCAAATTTTTGACATTTTAATCATAGACAGACATGAGAAGTCTCCGCACACTCAGGATCAATGCACAATTTTCAATTTATTTAAGCTGAGTTTTCGGTCGTCAGACCTTCATCAGAGCATGACGACTGAAAGCTCAGCCTAAATAAATTGAAAATTGTGTATTGATCCCGAGTGTGCGGAGACTTTTTATTTCAGTGTTACTCTTTATCCCCTGCACCTCAGCAATGGTTGGGTGTGTGACAGATCCTCTCAAAAATTATAGACAGACAACCTTGTCATATCAGTCTCAATAGTAGTTATTAATGAGTTCTAATCATTTGTGTCTGGCAGCGGAAATATTTTGCTGGATGAAGCACTTGTGCCGAAAATCTTTGACTTTGGGCTGACACGGGTCTCGGCCACGCAGTCATGTTTGACAGTGATGACCGAGAGGATTGTGGATACAACAGCATACATGGCAAATGAGGCACTCAGGGGCAAGATCACTCCCAAATAAGACATCTACAGTTTTGGGGTGGTAAATTGTACTTCACACCTACACACATCTATGGAACTAACACAATATGAAGACATTATACAATGTTCTGTGAAATCCACACCCGAACTGATTTGATTATCATCTTAGTGACACTACATGACAAACAATTGAGACAGCACCTCATGTTACACCCCTAAACATTATGCCAAACAGGTCAAGGAAAATGTTAGAGCACAGCCTTTCACACTATCACTTTAAAGACCTAAATATAGCCCAGAAGATACAGTGACAAGAATATAGAATTTATGATGAAACTGCAACGTAAGTCAAACTCATAAAACTAAAATAGCCAGTTCAGCAGTTTGCCTGAGTGCCAGACTCCAAAACCTACCGACACACACATAATTGTTGGACCCTTAAGTGACAATCATGCACCTGTGCCAGTCTACCAGCCAATTAATTTCCAATTAAATACCAATAAAGTAAAGGTTACTGCTCCTCAATGATAAAGAAAACATGTTGGTAAATGTTGATGTAGGCTAATAATGGAAAGTGTGGGAACAGTACTGTATGACATAAATGATGTACTCCAATGTCAGCAGTCCAATATGAGGTCAGGTCATCTGTGTGTTGAACTGGTTGAACCTCATCATAAACCAACAGCTTCTGTCAGTGTTCAGCCTGAACCCTGGGAACAGTAGCGTACAGTATCTTAAACATCGCCTGCTATATTATTAATGAAGAGTAATAGAGGGCTGTTGTTGGCTAGAGCTGGAGCCAGCCAGGTGGTTCATCTAAGGTTTCTGTCATCCACAGGTGTTGCTAGAAATATTGTCTGGACTCCTGCCAGTTGATGAAAACCGTGACTCTATGTTCCTGGTGAGCAAGCAGAACAATGGAAGCTTTCTCTTTAGTACTCGTCTGTCTTCATCGTGCATATGATCTAAAGAAAGAAAATGTTTCACTTTTTGTATTTACTATACAGTATCAATCAAAAAGCCAATTATTTGTGCAGCATTACTTACCTCTAATCTTTGCTCCCTGTTGAGCATAAGGACCACATTTGTACAGTATAGATGGCAGACAGTGTTGTATTTATCTTGTCTGTCAGTGTAGTTACCACTGCAAACAGTAGCTGAAGGATGTGTTTCTGCTGTTGAATGTTATGATTTGTTATGACTGTCACAGATGAACATGAAGGATGAGATGAGGAGGAAATGGCCCTGGAGGACTTTGTGGACACGAGGATGACAGCCTGGGACCTGCCGTTGGTGAAGAGGACCTACTCCTTAGCCAACAACTGTCTCAATGACAGAAAGAACAAACGGCCACTGACGAAAGAGGTGCGTAATTCCAGTACAGTTGCTAGCACTTTAGTTTACGGTACTGTCTCCACTGGTATATCAATGGGTACTTTGTGCTTCTTAGTCAGTGATCAACACAATTGCATACTAGCTGGGAGCCAACGCTTACTACTATGTGCTTAACTGTCTTTATCACATTGAAATAATGTAAATATTTTAATAGGTCCTGACGGAGCTTGAAGATGTTGTCAAAAGCATTTCACTGGAACCTGAGAGGGAAGCATAGACAACATGAGGAGAGATTATCCCTTAAGTCTTTTGTATTTATTTTGCCCAAAGAATAAACAGCATATTCATGTTTTTATTTGTTGAATTGCATTTCACTTTACGGCAAGCTTGATAGGTAAGTCACTAGACAAGTGGCTCAATGAAGGCATAGTTACAGTGGGGAGAACAAGTATTTGATACACAGCCGATTTTGCAGGTTTTCCTACTTACAAAGCATGTAGAGGTCTGTAATTTTTTATCATAGGTACACTTCAACTGTGAGAGACGGAATCTAAAACAAAAATCCAGAAAATCACATTGTATGATTTTTAATTAATTAATTTGCATTTTATTGCATGACATAAGTATTTGATCACCTACCAACCAGTAAGAATTCCGGCTCTCACAGACCTGTTAGTTTTTCTTTAAGAAGCCCTCCTGTTCTCCACTCATTACCTGTATTAACTGCACCTGTTTGAACTCGTTACCTGTATAAAAGACACCTGTCCACACACTCAATCAAACAGACTCCAACCTCTCCACAATGGCCAAGACCAGAGAGCTGTGTAAGGACATCAGGGATAAAATTGTAGACCTGCACAAGGCTGGGATGGGCTACAGGACAATAGGCAAGCAGCTTGGTGAGAAGGCAACAACTGTTGGCGCAATTATTAGAAAATGGAAGAAGTTCAAGATGACGGTCAATCACCCTCAGTCTGGGGCTCCATGCAAGATCTCACCTCGTGGGGCATCAATGATCATGAGGAAGGTGAGGGATCAGCCCAGAACTACAAGGCAGGACCTGGTCAATGACCTGAAGAGAGCTGGGACCACAGTCTCAAAGAAAACCATTAGTAACACACTACGCCGTCATGGATTCAAATCCTGCAGCGCACGCAAGGTCCCCCTGCTCAAGCCAGCACATGTCCAGGCCCGTCTGAAGTTTGCCAATGACCATCTGGATGATCCAGAGGAGGAATGGGAGAAGGTCATGTGGTCTGATGAGACAAAAATAGAGCTTTTTGGTCTAAACTCCACTCGCCGTGTTTGGAGGAAGAAGAAGGATGAGTACAACCCCAAGAACACCATCCCAACCGTGAAGCATGGAGGTGGAAACATCATTCTTTGGGGATGCTTTTCTGCAAAGGGGACAGGACGACTGCACCGTATTGAGGGGAGGATGGATGGGGCCATGTATCGCGAGATCTTGGCCAACAACCTCCTTCCCTCAGTAAGAGCATTGAAGATGGGTCGTGGCTGGGTCTTCCAGCATGACAACGACCCGAAAAACACAGCCAGGGCAACTAAGGAGTGGCTTCGTAAGAAGCATCTCAAGGTCCTGGAGTGGCCTAGCCAGTCTCCAGACCTGAACCCAATAGAAAATCTTTGGAGGGAGCTGAAAGTCCATATTGCCCAGCGACAGCCCCGAAACCTGAAGGATCTGGAGAAGGTCTGTATGGAGGAGTGGGACAAAATCCCTGCTGCAGTGTGTGCAAACCTGGTCAAGACCTACAGGAAACGTATGATCTCTGTAATTGCAAACAAAGGTTTCTGTACCAAATATTAAGTTCTGCTTTTCTGATGTATCAAATACTTATGTCATGCAATAGAATGCAAATTAATTACTTAAAAATCATACAATGTGATTTTCTGGATTTTTGTTTTAGATTCCGTCTCTCACAGTTGAAGTGTACCTATGATATGCTTTGTAAGTAGGAAAACCTGCAAAATCGGCAGTGTATCAAATACTTGTTCTCCCCACTGTATATGGAAAAATAGATCATACAGTATGTTTGATGTAAATATTTTCATGTTCCTTTTGAAAAGCCGCTGTTTTAAGAAAAAGAAACAACTTAAGACCAAACATGACAGTTCTCATGAGAGGGTATTCCCTTGTCCGAAGATGAGGTGTTAAACTAGTGATTTGCCTTACAATAAATCAGTAGACAAGTGACTGTGGCAGAAATAAATTCAATTTGGTATCCCTGTCTCTGGGACTCCCACCTTGCATTCACACCATAGGAGCTGGCACAGTAGCATACTTAGCTTCCTCGAACGCTAATCAGAGTATTTCAATGATGTGAAATACTGGAAGCCCCTGTTCGCTCTGTCACGTGACCCTCATTGACACCATACACAGATCAGTACAGACAAGACCTTTCATCACAGACAGAGCAGAACACCTACAATATGTACAGCACTTGCATAGAAAAATAAATTTCTCAGCAGATGTGTTTTATGTAAACCAGTTATCAAAAAATAAATGTTCCAATATAAAAATGTAAAAAAATAAAATAAAATAAAATGAAGAATGACAGGAGCAAATATTACATATTTTGGGGGGGTTGGACCTCTTCATAGCTGTGCACACATATCGATGGAGACATTTGTCTCAACTTTGGGGACAGGAAACACATAACAAATTGACATTGACCTAAGAGGAATGCAAGGAATGATTGCAAGCATGTGAACACAACTCATGGAGGGTTTGTCACATTGGCACAAATTCACATTAGTCGCACTAACATATTTTTCAGTCTCGGCAACAGTGTAAAAACCTTTCTTACTCAACTTGTTCTAACCTCTGAATGGCTCTGTAAAATACTCTGAATGAATCGCAGGCTACAAATGGACATTCTCAAGTGTGTGTTTCTGCTCAGTTGTTCATTGGAGTGCATAGTTCAGTCTCTGGGTGAGCTTTGAGGGTTTAGACGTTTTTTTTGTTTTTTTTTTAACAAGAGGTTGTTTCAAATAAGCTTTCCCTCCATCACTTGGAATGTTCCATTATGGAGTGTGTGTGTGTGTGTGTGTGTGTGTGTGGAGGGTGAGTGATGTCTGTTTAGTCATCCTCTTCTCCATCTCCAGGCGGTCTGGTGATGCGGCGTCCTCCCTTCTTCCCAGCGGGGCCCTTGGGCTTGGCAAAGGCCTGCTTGTGTGCGTGCTGCTTGGGATGGACTTCCTCATACAGGAAGTCACCAGTCAGCTCATCCCCGCTCTCAATCTCCAGCTGTGAACAGTCCCACACGAATAGTGAGGAGTTGGACTGTTAACCAAACCAGGGTTGGAGTCAATTCCATATAAATTCAGTCAATTTAGGAAGTAAACGCTTTGAGAAAAATTTGAATAGGAGTGTCAGTTTACTTCCTGAATTGAAACTAAATGAACCTGAACCAAACCTACAGATTTTTTTACTGAACCCTAAGGCACATGGAACACTTTGATTGGTGTTAACACCACTTATAGGTAATGTTAAAGTCATACAAAAATAGCTTGATCTTTTGGTCCTTACCTTCTTCAAAATGTCAATTTGCATGTTGTTCTCCACCATGTCCACCAGAGGATTTTTGCAACTGGAATAGAGCATCCTCTCTTTGATGCTGCACTTGTACCCCGGCATGGAATAAATGAACACTGCAAAAGGCAAAATAACAATGGAGGATGTCCCATCAGAATCACAGATATTCAACGCAGTAAATATGTATACAGATATGACGACAGCTGTGCTTGGTGTCTTTAGTTGGTTCTCTTCTATTGTTCTTTGTGAAAACAGTGGTGTAAATATATTCACCTGTGGACTCCAGGTAGTCTCCCTCGTGGGAATGATTGTAGCGGAAGAAGTGATAGCGAGCGGACTCTGTGGGGATCCTCTTGGGCAGGTCTTTCACCTCGGTCGGTTCAGTGTTAGACAACCTAATGAGTTCTTTGGCAAAGTCTATTTCCTATCGAGAGTAGAAATGAAACCATACTATGACTTAACCAGATATGACAGTTGGATAATTACGCTCTAATAAAGTGTAATTTCATCTTTGTGTGATTTATTGAATAGCTATTTTGATAACATGTCCATTATGAGAACAAGGCAGAGCCGGCTCGAAGTGTCACAGTTATGCCTTTGTCCCCAAATCTGATCTTGTGACACAAGCCCTTGAATGTCAATGAGAACTGACACAATGACACTTTGGTTAAAAAGAAAACACATCGTACTGTTCTAAACAGAACTCCTGACTCCAAAATTCCTTTGACAGTCTACAGAGAAGCCTGAGGATAAAAGAGGAACATAACTTGTTCTCAACTGACTCACCTGGAAAAGCGACAGAGGGGGAGAAGTACTTACAAGTTGTACGTAGTTGACTTGCTTGTCCCTGAATTGTTCGAGCGCCTCGACTGCGTCTCCATGCATAGGGAACGCCACTCCCTGCAGTGTCTGCTGCTTGGTGTCCACACTGATGTCAGTCTTCACCTGAACACAACACAGAGAAAACAATGTAAGACAACTTAACCTTTATCATAGTCAACACACAGCTCACTAGTGGTAGTGCTAGTGAATCCATCAATATTAAATATTTTATTTAACCAGGAAGTCCCTTTGTGAAGTCATTAGATCTCTTTCCCAAGGAAGACCTGGCCACCTTAAATTCCTATAAAGTAGATACGAGGCAAAGAAATCCAGAACATTCATCCCCTCTCAGATTCTCCACATTGGGGATAATGTCTGATGTGGCTAATGTTTCTATATCTGGACAGGAAAGACAGGAGTGATGAGGCACCTCTTCTAAAATCACCTTAAAGACTGGAAATGGAGGGGGATTATACTGATGGATTGCACCTATTTTTAGAGCCCTGTTGGTTCCCTCGGAATTAAAGGCTCTGTTGTGTACACATGATTGAGCAGCCGATGCGGTGCACCCACCTCATGTACCAAAATGATTGTGGGTTTCATCCATTAACTTAGTCAAGGCAGTCTCGCTCTGTCCAGGCACATTAATGATAAATACATATTTCAAAGCCTCTTTGCTTCCACAAAGACAAATGTTGTTTATCTCCCTTTCAACAGCTGGTCAATTGGGAGAAGTGCTAGCCTGTTTTCTCCATTCTAGCTTTTTATTGTCACGTGTAGATCAGTTGGTAGAGCATGGCGTTTGCAACGCCAGGGTTGTGGGTTCGATTCCCACGGGGGGCCAGTATGAAAATGTATGCACTCACTAAAAAACTGTAAGTCGCTCTGGATAAGAGCGTCTGCTAAATGACTAAAATGTAAATGTATTTAGGAGTGACTGAATGCTTCTCAGACTACTTCCTTATATGGAGTTTGAACATCTTGTTTATGTGACAGACAGACAGTCACAGCAACTAGCTTGTTTCCTCTTTAAGAAGACTCACTTTGGTTTGGTTGGAATCACGAGTCACTGTATGTTACTTTCTCTTTGGTTAATCACATCTTACAACTACCAATGAGAAAAGCAAACTTGACATTCTTCATCGTTAGTAGCAAATCAAGCACTGGCTATCACATAACAGTGTACCCAGATCTTATCAGTGGAGCCAAGCCAACGCACAGTGGTGTGACCTTGTCCAAGTGCTTTCCTGGACAGAATCAATGCAAAGTATTGAATGATCATTCATCAACTTTCAAAGGTGGCCCCTCGTATAGGCTGACTATACAAGCATTTCACTACACCAGCAAGAACATCTGCTAAACACGTGTATGTGACTAACAAAATTTGATTTGATTTGATTTATACAGAACATTTTAGTTCAAGACCCGTGTATTTAGTGGGAGATCTCAACAACAACATCCTATTGCTTACAGTGCATTGTGATTTTTTTTACACCAAAAAAAAAACACCCATTTATATAGCTATGGGTCTAGACCCATACAGGGGTAATAGAGAAAGGGGATACCTAGTCAGTTGCACAACTGAATGCATTCAACCGAAATGTGTCTTCCGCATTTAAACCAACCCCTCTGAATCAAAGAGGTGCGGGAGGCCAACTTAATCGACGTCCGCGTCATCGGAGCACAGGGAGCAGTTGCTATTGGAGGTTAACTGCCTTGCTCAAGGGCAGATTTTTCTACCTTGCTGGCTCGGGGATTCAAATCAGCAACCTTTCGGTTACTGGCCCAACGCTCTTAACCGCTAGGCTACCTGCCGCGGTTAGTCATCCATCTGCCAACTTCCTGTAGTTCTAATGCATCAGCACCTTTCCAGTGACTCTTTGTGCCAGGTCAGCATTATGCACAGCTGTATTGCTGACCTTGTGGTCTATGGGGGAAGGTATCACCAGCTGTCATTAATATTCAACACTGTCTTTTGGATTGAACACAATTCAAAGCATATGCTATGAGTTTACTGTATATATTGCTGAGTTGCTCTCAGTGCTCAGAACCCCTCCCAAAGAAGAACACACAGTTTGCCTAGATGTCTTGGTTTCAAAGCTAAAAGAAAGGTTTGAATCCACACCCATTTAACAATGACACTGTCAACCAACAGAATGACTTGTGCACAGAATCACTTTTAAACATCACAGGAAGTGTGAATACTGTTCTCTGTCTGTGTGTGTGTGTGTGTGTGTGTGTGTGTGTGTGTGTGTGTGTGTGTGTGTACCTCGCTGAGTTTGATCTGTCGTAGTTCCTCCTCAGCAGCAGTGAGTGGTAGTGGTGCGGCCTTGGTCACCAGGTACTTCTTGTAGCCACTCAGAGACACATCCTCCTGGAGGAGAATCAGGAGGGAAGAGAGGATCCCATACCAGTTAGCCTTTTATATACACACATACAATTCACGTACAATACATATTTGACAATACTCGATCCTCCATCTTATAGGCTATGTGCGATAATGTGAAATTGCCAATTTACTGAGCAATGCCATACTGGAAGGTTATTCTATGTTTATACCTATACTTGAACATAAAAAATATACATACTTCAATTACAACAACCTGAATGACAAAGCAGACAGAAAATCTGATCTTCCAAGTTCTTCATTACAGAAAGGCATAAGAGGATTTCACAAGACAATCTAAACTAATACAGATAATCTAACCAACCTTTGTAGTGCCAAAAAGCTCATCTTTGATAAGCCCCCCACCAAATTCCTTCTTTAGTGTGGCCCTGGTAGCAGCGTATAACATCTTATGTCGCACCTGTTTGAAATAGAATGTATTAGTGAATACACCAAGGGTACTGGAAAAGCAGTCTGTTTACATTTATCTATTCCATCCACTTTCTATAACTCAATGACATTCAGTGATTTTATCCATGTTTCACATGATTTCTGATTCTTCTCTTGCTGCCTCAACATAAACTCCCATTATTTTTTCCATAGGAGAGCAAACTGTGCCTGGATAAGCACTAAATAAATGCAGCCCATTTGGATGTTTCAGTGAGTACTTTTACATGCACAGTAATCATTTCTATATTAAACTGATTATGGCAGTAGGCAGATTATGCAATAATAATAATAATAATAAGCCATTTAGCAGACGCTTTTATCCAAAGCGACTTACAGTCATGCGTGCATACATTTATAAAAAAAAAAAAATTGTATGGGTGGTCCCGTTTTCTGAGCAATCCTTTAAATTATTAGGACATGTAAACACAATAATAGGCGTTCCAGCGATATATTTGATCTGCACATGTACCAGCACCAGCCGAGCGAGCAACCCTCTTTAGCGCGAGTGAAATGAGTTCGGAAAAACTGAATGCATGCATCTTAGAAGTAGTTTTCACATACAAACTTTATATGTCCGAACTCAGAATCAAATTTGCTTCCCAAAATTAAAGCTAAATGTTACATTTGCACTACATTGCAAACTACATATAACCAACAACAATCAGTATTCAACACAAAACATTTCTGCTAAGGGTCTGTTGTGATTTGTGAGCATGCAGAGACTTGTCATTGACATGACTGTGCAACATAATTAGCAAAGGGAAGCTGACATCTGTGGGTGAGATGAGTTGCTTACAGGAGAGTGGTCAGGTGACCAGGCCATGAAGATCCACTCATAGCCCTGGTTGTTGGAGGAGTCCAGCCGGTACAGGATATAAGATGGCAGGTCGTCCTGTAGTAGAGGCAGGACTAACGAGTCATACTCTTGGTCCCATGTCTCTGATGCTTGCCTGATCTCGCCCAAAGCTAGCTGCTCTGTAACACAAATATTATCAGAATTTAGTAAAAACATAATTTTGGTGAATAGAATCTCTCTGGGGTTTCCAACATTTCGGCAACTGTTTTAATAAAAAAAAAGATCTGTAATATATCCTTGAGAGACAACCTTGGTGACAAACATTAGATATGTTTATGGTCAGATCAGTAAAAAAATAAACACTTCTTACCATCCTCAATCACAATCTTTAAGAGTCGATATTGGTCTCCACACCTTGCACTGGCAAAGATGTCCTTCACGTCGTTACCAGCTAGAAAAACAGTGGGGAAGTGAGTTTGGTATCGGCACAAACATGCAATGTGTTCTACGATGGGTGTTTCATAGTAGAAGCCACACCACTGAAATTGGGCTTACAGAAATTCAGCTAGCTGTAATGACTTCAGTTAAACCCATGTTAAAACCTTCCAAAGTACAAACCATGTAATTATCTTCAGCTATTCAAAACAATCTTTGCCACAGAAGTTTGGTCCACATATAGAGCATTTAGTAAATGGAGAGAAATGGACAAGCCTGCTAGGACACCTCCTGGTCCCATTGGCCTAGGCCAGGGATGGGCAACTTTGATGGGGGTGGGGGCCACAAAAAAACGGAACTCATCATGAGGGGCCGCAGTGGCTCGTGTGTCTGCGTACCCCCTCCCTCGTGACACCAGTCCCCCCTCGTGCCAGCGAAGATAAATACATTTAGTTTGAAAATTCATTTCCTGCAATTTTGTAACTAATTTCATGCAATACTACTCATTTTGCCATGGGTGGAGAGAAATGTGCAGTTTTACAGCTAATTTCCTGCAATTGTACACATTTTGTCATAGGGTGGAGGCAAATGTTTGCAGTTTTTAATATGATAACTGATGATCACTTGGCCCCATCCTGGTCGGTAATTCGACCAGCTGGCCACTAGACTAATTTACCAATCTAAAAAATAAATCTGACATGGGCTAATTGGGTGACTGCTGATACAAAACCACATTTCTAAATTGCACCTTGTGTATTCTGTTATTTTAACTCTCACCAGTAAATTGAGACCCCGACTGAGTTGCCCATCCCTGGCATAGGTCTATCTCTCACATAAGCCCATACTGAGCAAATAGTAGGATGAACGCATGCGACCTACAGCAATCTCCTTCCCACTCACAAATTTTAACAACGTGGCACACCACAATTTTACATGCATGTTGTCGAGGTCACCATATGAACCTTTTAACGCAAGTGTGTGCGAGTTGCTTGGTGAGTAGGATCCTCACTCATCCATGTTGTCAAAACTACATTCACATCACACACACACACACACAGTATTTTACAGCTAACCTTGTGGGGGGACACAATTCAGTCCCATTCAAAATCCTATTTTCCATAACCCTTAACCCTAACCCATACTCTTACCCTAACCTTAACCCAAAAACCTAACCTTAACCCTAACCCAAAACTAACCCTAGCCCCTAACCCTTAACGTAATTCTAACCCTAACACTAATTCTAACCTTAACCCTAAACCCCCTAGAAATAGCATTTGACCTCGTGGGGACTAACAAAATGTCCCCAGTTTGTCAAATGTTTGTTTGTTTACTATTCTTGTGGGGACTTCTGGTCCCCACAAGAATATTTAAACACGTCCACACACACCCACACACACAGAAACAAACACGTTTCAGTATCACTTGCATAAATATTTCAATCATTGTGCAAATGAAAAATACAATATCGATATCTGCCATTGGGTTGAAAGTACTCAGATACTTTAGTGTAGGCTATTTGTCAGCTCATTTTTTATGTAAATGTTTGTCTGACAGGTTGCTTGCTGTCTGGACCATTTTAGTTACATTTGAATGCCAGATGTTTCAATGAAGGCGTTGCCCGAGCCTAAATGTTGTTGTTTTTTGCTAGAGCAGAGGCAGAGACACACACATTGTTTGTATCTGGCTGCCCATTCTTTTAGGACACCTAGCCACATAACTACCGTTGCTACTTCTTAGCAGAGCATCAAATCAATTATCACAGATAGCTCGCTAGCTAGCTAGTACTGTACAGTATGAACTGGTGCATTGATAGTAAAACATTGCACATCGATTAAAAACAGATTTTTCAATTAAGATGTATACAGTTCAAACATGCTAAGAAAGCAACAACAGAACTTAAATGAAATAGATACCTTGTATGCCCGTTTGGTGGGTCATTTTGTATTTTTATCGCAAGAAAGGTTGATGAAGCAGAGAACCAAGCCAGGGTAAGGAAGTAGGAAGCGGACTAGGTTAAATTAATGTATTGTCGTCATCATCAGCAAGGTCACGTGGTTCAACGATACCGTGGCACGACGAGGAATACAAAAAATCGTATTATTACATTCCTGCATTATTTAAATGATAAACAACAAATGCGATGCTTTGACCTCGGGAAGTCTATTGGTATTCTACACATACTCGCTGGACCTAGCTATTTTATAGGCTACTACCAATGACTGTATATATGAAGGCTACTACTCTGTAGTCTAGCATGAGGGGCATGACACATTTGTTACATTGTATCCACTACAGTCTAGACTGAAATGTAACGTCTGATCTGCAATGTTACATTTACAATATTACATTCTGCAACATTACATTTGTAACTTTTGCAATATAGCCTATTGTTTGTGATGCAATGCTACCAGGGGCAGACTGGGACAAAAATTCAGCCCCGGCATTTCAGCCACACCATCCCACACACATCACACTTCTACATTAATGTGGATGCTACCATGATTACGGATAATCCTGAATGAATCGTGAATAATGAATTACAGATGCAGAAATTATGTATGCTATTTATGCGTCTATAACTTTCTCACTCATTATTATTCACGATTTTTTCAGGATTATCCATAATCATGGTAGCATCCACATCATGGTACACATCTGCTGTTACATTTTGTATGTATCCAGTCATATAATATATATATATATTTGTAAATTTGCATATTGTGACTGTAAGTTTGATAGTACTTTACAAGGGTAGAGGTGCAGGATCTCTGTGTGTGTTTGACTGTGTCTGTGATGTTGTAAATTATATCAATTTTGTGAAAAATTTGTGAAAAATTTGTTCACAGAAAACAAGGGTAGAGATGGTACAAGAGTATAATTGTTCTGCAAGCCTATGTACACCTACAGTACACTATTAGTTGCGTGTCAATGTGAAAATGAATAAAGGCTTCACATGTTTTGTCACGCATATAGTATGTGGCCCTTCACTTGGTTTCAAAAACTCAATGTGGCCCTTGAACCAAAAGGTTTGCCCACCCCTGACCTAAATCACAAGGTCAAATCTACACTGGAGTTGCTAACCAAGACGACATTGAATGTTCCTGAGTGGCCTAGTTACAGTTTTGACTTAAATCGGCTTGAAATCTATGGCAAGACTTGAAAATGGCTGTCTAGCAAAGATCAACAACCAACTTGACAGAGCTTGAAGAATTTTTTAAAGAATAATGTGCAAATATTGTACAATCAAGGTGTGCAAAGCTCTTAGAGACGTACCCAGAAAGACTCACAGCTGTAATCCCTGCCAAAGGTGATTCTAACATTTATTGACTCAGGGGTGTGAATACTTATGTAAATTCAATATTTATGTATTTCATTTTCAATACATTTGCAAACATTTCTAAAAACATGTTTTCATTTTGTCATTATGGGGTATTGAGTGTAGATGAGTGAGATTAAAAAAAAATATATTTAATCCATTTTGAATTCAACTGTAACACAAAAAAATCTGGAATAAGTCAAGGGGTATGCATACTTTCTGAAGGCAAAAATTAGACAAAGAAGAAAATCACTGAATAAATGCCTTATAGATGACCATTGGCTTATATAATACCTTATACCGTTGAAGTCGGAAGTTTACATACACTTAGGTTGGAGTCATTAAAACTCGTTTTTCAACCACTCCACAAATGTCTTGTTAACAAACTATAGTTTTGGCAAGTCGGTTAGGACATCTACTTTGTGCATGACACAAGTAATTTTTCCAACAATTGTTTACAGGCAGATTATTTCACTTATAATTCACTGTATCACAATTCCAGTGGGTCAGAAGTTTCCATACATTAAGTTGACTGTGCCTTTAAACAGCTTGGGAAATTCCAGAAAATTATGTCATGGCTTTAGAAACTTCTAATAGGCTAATTGACATAATTTGAGTCAATTGGAGGTGTACCTGTGGATGTATTTCAAGGCCTACCTTCAAACTCAGTGCCTCTTTGCTTGACATCATGGGAAAATCAAAAGAAATCAGCCAAGACCTCAGAAAAAGAATTGTAGACCTCCACAAGTATGGTTCATCCTTGGGAGCAATTTCCAAACGCCTGAAGGTACCACGTTCATCTTCTACAAACAATACTACGCAAGTATAATCACCATGGGACCACGCAGCCGTCATACCGCTCAGGAGAGACGCATTCTGTCTCCTAGAGATGAACGTACTTTGGTGCGAAAAGTGCAAATCAGTCCCAGAACAACAGCAAAGGACCTTGTGAAGATGCTGGAGGAACAGGTACAAAATGATCTATATCCACAGTAAAACGAGTCCTATATCGACATAACCTGAAAGGCCGCTCAGCAAGGAAGAAGCCACTGCTCCAAAACCGCCATAAAATAGCCAGACTACGGTTTGCAACTGCACATGGGGACAAAGATCGTACTTTTGGAGAAATGTCCTCTGGTCTGATGAAACAAAAATAGAACTGTTTGGCCATAATGACCATCGTTATGTTTGGAGGAAAAAGGGGGACTTGCAAGCCGAAGAACACCATCCCAACCGTGAAGCATGGGGGTGGCAGCATCATGCTGTGGGGTGCTTTGCTGCAGGAGGGACTGGTGCACTTCACAAAATAGATGGCATCATGAGGAAGGAAAATTATGTGGATATATTGAAGCAACATCTCAAGACATCAGTCACGAAGTTAAAGCTTGGTCGCAAATCGGTCTTCCAATTGGACAATGACCCCAAGCATACTTCAAAAGTTGTGGCAAAATGGCTTAAGGACAATAAAGTCAAGGTATTGGAGTGGCAATCACAAAGCCCTGACCTCAATCCTATAGAAAATGTGTGGGCAGAACTGAAAAAGCGTGTGCGAGCAAGGAGGCCTACAAACCTGACTCAGTTACACCAGCTCTGTCAGGAGGAATGGGCCAAAATTCACCCATCTTATTGTGGGAAGCTTCTGGAAGGCTACCCGAAACGTTTGACCCAAGTTAAACAATTTAAAGGCAATGCTACCAAATACTAATTGAGTGTATGTAAAACTTCTGACCCACTGGGAATGCGATGAAAGAAATAAAAGCTGAAAGAAATCATTCTCTCTACTATTATTCTGACATTTCACATTCTTAAAATAAAGTGGTGATCCTAACTGACCTAAAACAGGGAATTTTTACTAGGATTAAATGTCAGGAATTGTGAAAAACTGAGTTTAAATGTATTTGGCTAAGGTGTATGTAAACTTCCGACTTCAACTGTACATATTTCTAATTATTGCATTTCAAGTGTTTCCCCTGCCCACTTTAGATACGTGTTTAAATATGAGGCTACATATAATTCAACAGAAGAAAACAGAGAGAGAGAGAGAAGGAGAGAGAGAGACTGCCAGTTCCTTAATGTTTTGTCTCTCTCTCTCCCTCTCTCTCTGTTCTTCTACTGAATTCAATATACAACCTTCTGTGTTTGTCAAAGAACGATGCCGGGACTAGTTTATGTGGATGCGTATCTTTCTGCCAAGAAGTGATGGTGCTGTCAGCTAATGAAATAAGCGGGAGATAGGCGGGACTTTAATGTAATCCGACACCAGAGTCACTTGTTACTACAACTCATAAACTCACATGCTGGGCTGAGGAGACTGAGATTCAGAAGCGAATAAACATTGATAAAACAATAAAAAAATACATAGACAGTCCCCAAATTGACCTTTATTGTAATACATGATAACTTGTGTTTAGTAAAAAGCACTGTATAAATGTCTAGTAAATGGCTATTGCCTTACCTATGTGTTATAAAAGCCAATCTAATGACTTGCTACGTTATTTCGTACACTGAGTGTACAAAAAGGGAGTTGCACTCCCCCAGAACCCCCTCAATTCGTCAGGGCATGGACTCTACAAGGTTTCGAAAGCGTTCCATAGCGATGCTGGCCCAAGATGGCGTAGCAGTGCGGTCGTGTTCTTTGTTGTGTGTCTGTGTAAATAGCCTGTTTTTTGTATTTTCGTACATATTTCCCTATCACACTTTTCATCCTTCTATTAAATATACTTTCCTGCAACCCGCCTCACTCAATGTGGAACGGATTCTATTATTTACTCACCTTTATCTAGAATCTCCAGTTGAAACTAGCTAGCCAGCTAACAAGCTACTTGCTATTAGCCACTGTTAGCGGTTTTCACCCAGAACATCGGATTTTCTGCCGGAATAACTGAATCACTGGACCCTAACACCGGATCGCAACTAGCTAGCCGCAACCGAATGGATGTTGCTGTAGGCTAATCACCACTGCCCCCGAAGCAAGCACCAGTTAGCCTTGAGCCAGGCCCATATCCCGGCTATCTACCTCTTTGTCTACCGGACGGGAGTAGCCAGCTAACTAGCTACTTGCTATTAGCCACCGTTAGCGTTTTTTCACCATTGTCTGTGGCCTGCACTACCTACCAGCCAGCTCTAGCCTGGACTATTATCGGCCAGTCTGCACTGTCTGCACAGCGCGTTATCGACCCAGAACATATCGGATTTTCTGCCGGAATCACTAAATCACTGGATCTTTAACACCTGATCATCGCAACTAGCTAGCTGCAATCGAATCCAGGCTCTGTCGCAGCCGGCCGCGACCGGGAGACTCATGGGCGGCGCACAATTGGCCCAGCGTCGTCCAGAGTAGGGGAGGGAATGGCCGGCAGGGATGTAGCTCAGTTGATAGAGCATGGTGTTTGCAACGCCATGGTTGTGGGTTCGATTCCCACGGGGGGCCAGTATATAAAAAAAAAAGAAGATAAAAATAAAAATAAAGTATTCACTAACTGTAAGTCGCTCTGGATAAGAGCGTCTGCTAAATGACTAAAAATGTAAAAATGTAAAATGGATGTTGTTGTTGGCTAATCAGTCTTGAGCTAGCCTCGAGTTAGGCACATCTACCGGCTATCTACCTCTCTGTCAACCGGACGGGACCTCCTAGAGTCGACACGGAGCCCCGCCGATCCATCACGACTGGTCTGCCAACGTAATCGTCTGTGGTTTCAACAGGCTTCCCGTTGCGACGACCACGAAGATCCATCTGCTAGCTCCGGCCCGCTAGCACACGCAAACAACAGCCGTGCTTCCTGCTCGCTGTGCTTATGGTATTATTTTATGTATCATTAAGGCACATGTAGGGAGATGCCAAAGGTAAAATATAATAAACATGTTTGATATTTTATAATCCAGATACATGCTTAAATAAGGAGTATAGACATGTAGTATATGCTGTGTTTTAAATGAATGCATGTGTTCTTTCACAGAGGCTCTCAAACTGTGGCCCATGGGCTTGTTATAGACACATGGTATGCATTACCGTAGTTCTTTTTTAAGAAGGGGCCTAAGCCACGCAGCCAATAGAATGATAGAATGAGAGGCTTCATATAGAAAAAAGCATTCATGACCTTTTGGAGTGGACATTGTGTGCCAGCTAGATGTTGAAAAAGAAGGGTGGGGCAGAACTACAATAAATTAGGAAAGTACGCATGTTTTTTCATTTGTGTGTATATAAGAGATCTCTAAGCCAGAGAGAGACAGTTGTTCCATGGTGCAAGCTCGGCTTTGTTATGCAATAAAGTATAATTCTTGGATTCACAAGCTCCGGTGTCTTGAGAGATATTTTTGAGTTGATTATATATTAGTCAAATATTTCTACCACATGCTTTAGCACCAATTCGAACTGCTCTCGGACTCACATATTGTTGTTCACTGGACCTTATGATCACTCAGCTGCACAGCTGATGCCTGCTGGACTGTTCCTTTACACGGTACCCTGTCCTGTTTATCTGTTTAGCCTCAGCCCAAACTTTATCGCCATTACCAGTTGTTGTCTTAGCTCTCTATAATAACACCTGTGATTGCTTTATGCCTCTCTCCCATGTCAATATGCCTTGCCTATTGCTGTTCCAGTTAGTTCTTATTATAAAATGTCAATATAGAACCCCAAGTCATTCTCAAACTGCCTCAAATAGCTCCTTTGTTCCACCCCCCATACACGCAAAGACCGGCTCAATCGGTGCCTCCAGTGATGCTATCTCTTTCATTGTTACCCAACGCTTAGATTTACCTCCACTGTACTCATATCCTTCCATATCCTTGTCTGTACATAATGCCCTGAATCTATTCTACAACGCCCGGAAATCTGCCCCCTTTATTCTCTGTACCCAACGCACTAGAAGACCAGTTCTTAAAGCCTTTAGCCGTATCCTTATTCTAGTCCTCCTCTGTTTCTCTGGTGATGTAGAGGCTAACCCAGGCCCTGCAGCCCCCAGTATCACTCCTACTCCCCAGGAGTTATCATTTGTTGACTTCTGTAACTGTAAAAGCCTTGGTTTTCTGCATGTTAACATCAGAAGCCTCCTTCCTAAGTTTGAGTTATTCACTGCGTTAGCACACTCCGCCAACCCTGATGTTCTAGCAGTGTCTGAATCCTGGCTTAAGAAGGCCACCAAAAATTCAGACATTTCCATCCCCAACTACAACATTTTCAGTCTAGATAGAACTGCCAAAGGGGGTGAAGTTGCAAACTACTGTAGAGATAGCCTGCAGAGCTCTATCATACTATCCAGGTCTGTGCCCAAACAGTTTGAGCTCCTACTTCTAAAAATCCACCTTTCCAGAAATAAGTCTCTCACTGTTGCCACTTGCTACAGACCCCCCTCAGCCCCCAGCGGTGCCCTGGACACCATATGTGAATTGATTGCCCCCCATCTATCCTCAGAGTTTGTACTGCTTGGTGACCTAAACTGGGACATGCTTAACACAACGGCCATCCTACAATCCAAACTAGATGCCCTCAATCTCACACAAATTGTCAAGGAACCTACCAGGTACAACCCTAAATCCGTAAACATGGGCACCTTCATAGATATCATCCTGACTAACTTACCCTCTAAATACACCTCCGCTGTCTTCAACCAGGATCTCAGCGATCACTGCCTTATTGCCTGCGTCCGTAACGGGTACGCAGGTCAAACGACCACCCATCATCACTGTCAAACGCTCCCTAAAACACTTTAGCGAGCAGGCCTTCCTAATTGACCTGACCCAGGTATGTGGTCCTCTGTAGCTCAGCTGGTAGAGCACGGCGCTTGTAACGCCAAGGTAGTGGGTTCGATCCCCGGGACCACCCATACACAAAAATGTATGCACGCACGACTGTAAGTCGCTTTGGATAAAAGCGTCTGCTAAATGGCATATTATTATTATTATTAGGTATCCTGGATGGATAGTGATCTCATTCCGTCAGTAGAGGATGCCTGGTTGTTCTTTAAAAGTGCTTTCCTCTCAATCTTAAATAAGCATGCCCCATTCAAAAAATGCAGAACTAAGAACAGATATAGCCCCTGGTTCTCGTCAGACTTGACTGCCCTTGACCAGCACAAAAACATCCTGTGGCATACTGCATTAGCATCGAATAGCCCCCGCGATATGAAACTTTTCAGGGAAGTTAGGAACCAATATACACAAGCAGTTAAGAAAGCGAAGGCTAGCTTTTTCAAACAGAAATTTGCATCCTGTAGCACTAACTCCAAAAAGTTTTGGGACACTAAAGTCCATTGAGAATAAGAGCACCTCCTCCCAGCTGCCCACTGCACTGAGGCTAGGAAACACTATCACCACCGATAAATCTACAATAATCGAGAATTTCAACAAGCATTTTGCTACGGCTGGCCATGCTTTCCACCTGACTACCACTACCCCGGCCACCAGCTCTGCACCCTCCGCTGCAACTTGCCCATGCCCCCCCCCCCCACTTCTCCTTCACACAAATTCAGACAGTTGATGTTCTGAAAGAGCTGCAACATCTGGACCCCTACAAATCATCTGGGCTAGACAATCTGGACCCTTTCTTTCTAAAATTAGCCGCTGAAATTGTCGCAACCCCTATTACTAGCCTGTTCAACCTCTCTTTTGTAACGTCTGAGATTCCCAGAGATTGGAAAGCTGCCGCGGTCATCCCCCTCTTCAAAGGGGGTGACACTCTAGATCCAAACTGTTATAGACCTATATCCATCCTGCCCTGCCTTTCTAAAGTTTTTGAAAGCCAAGTTAACAAACAGATCACCGACCATTTTGAATCCCACCGTACCTTCTCCGCTATGCAATCCGGTTTCCGAGCTGGTCATGGGTGCCCCTCAGCCACGCTCAAGGTCCTAAACGATATTATAACCGCGATCGATAAAAGACAGTACTGTGCAGCCGTCTTCATCGACCTGGCCAAGGCTTTCGACTCTGTTAACCACCGCATTCTTATTGGCAGACTAAATAGCCTTGGTTTCTCAAATGACTGCCTCGCCTGGTTCACCAACTACTTCTCAGATAGAGTTCAATGTGTCAAATCGGAGGGCCTGTTGTCTGGACCTATGGCAGTCTCTATGGGAGTGCCACAGGGTTCAATTCTTGGGACGACTCTTTTGTCTGTGTATATCAATGATGTCGCTCTTGCTGCTCGTGACTCTCAGATCCACCTCTACGCAGACGACACCATTTTGTATACATCTGGCCCTTCATTGGACACTGTGTTAACAAACCTCCAAACGAGCTTCAATGCCATACAACACTCCTTCCGTAGCCTCCAACTGCTCTTAAACACTAGTAAAACTAAATGCATGCTCTTCAATCAAACGCTGCTGGCACCCGCCCACCCGACTAGAATCACTACTCTCGACGGGTATGACCTAGAGTATGTGGACAACTACAAATAACTAGGTGTCTGGTTAGACTGTAAACTCTCCTTCCAGACTCACATTAAGCATCTCCAATCCAGAGTGAAATCTAGAATCGGCTTCCTATTTCGCAACAAAGCCTCCTTCACTCATGCTGCCAAACATGCCCTCGTAAAACTGACTATCCTACCAATCCTTGACTTCGGCGATGTCATTTACAAAATAGCCTCCAACACTCTACTCAGCAAATTGGATGTAGTCTATCACAGTGCCATCCGTTTTGTCACCAAAGCCCCATATACTACCCACCACTGTGACCTGTACGCTCTTGTTGGCTGGTCCTCACTACATATTCGTCGCCAAACCCACTGGCTCCAGGCCATCTATAAATCACTGCTAGGCAAATCTCTGCCTTATCTTAGCTCATTGGTCACCATAGCAACACCCACCCGTAGTATGCGCTCCAGCAGGTATATCTCACTGGTCATCCCCAAAGCAACACCTCCTTTGGCCGCCATTCCTTCCAGTTCTCTGATGCCAATGACTGGAACGAACTGCAAAAAATCTCTGAAGCTGGTGACTCTTATCTCCCTCATAACTTTAAGCATCAGTTGTCAGAGCACCTTACCGATCACTACACCTGTACACAGCCCTTCTGAAATTAGCCCACTCAACTACCTCATCCCCATATTGTTATTTATTTTGCTCATTTGCACCCCAGTATCTCTATTTGCACATCATCTCTTGGACATCTATCATTCCAGTGTTAATACTAATTGTAATAATTTTGCACTATGGCCTATTTATTGCCTTACCTCCATAACTTGCTACATTTGCACACACTGTATATATATTTTCTGTGGTATTTTTGACTTTATGTTTTGTTTTCCCCCATATGTAACTCTGTGTTGTTGTTTTTATCGCACTGCTTTGCTTTATCTTGGCCAGGTCGCAGTTGTAAATGAGAACTTGTTCTCAACTGGCTTAACTGGTTAAATAAAGGTGAAATAAATAAAATTAAAATAAAATATTGACTCCAATGCTTCTCACAGTTGTGTCAAGTTGGCTGGATGTCCTTTGGGTGGTGGACCATTCTTGATACACACAGGAAACTGTTGAGCGGGAAAAATCCAGCAGCATTGCAGTTCTTGAAACACTCAGACCGGTGAGCCTGGCACCTACTACCATACCCTGTTCAAAGGCATTTAAATAGTTTGTCTTGCCCATTCACACTCTGAATGGCACACATACACAATCCATGTCTCAGTTGTCTTAAGGCTTAAAAATCATTCTTTAACCTGTCTCCTCCCCTTCATCTACACTGATTGAAGTGGATTTAACAAGTGACATCAATAAGGGATCATAGCTTTCACCTGGATTCACCTGGTCAGTCTATATCATGGAAAGAGCAGGTGTTCCAAATGTTTTGTACACTCAGTGTTTATTTATACAATATACAGCCACAGTATTAGGCCTAACTGGCAGCAGTAGGCTACATGATCTGTGTCAGTGTGCGTGAGTGTGTCTTTCTCTGTTTTCTACCACAGTAGGTGATCTGTCATTTCTCACAGACACAGCAGACCAGCACACCAGAACTTTTAACAAATAGGTCTGTTAATTTCTCACACTTAGCAGCGTCGGCCTCAAGAGCCTTTTTTTGGTCTCTAACTTTTTCAGCACCACCCTTCCGTTTTTTCTGTTTTGACTGAGTGACTGACAGAGTCAGAGTGGGTCTCACTCTCTTTGAATATGCGCATTTAATTTTGAATGTGAATTTGCGTTACCTCAGCCAATCAGAAAACCGGGCCAGCCGTTTCCCACTGGTCAGCTAAATATAGACAATTATGACAACAGAGAAATAGCACAAAAGTCATTAAAAAAAACAGGCTCATGAGCAACCGTACGTGTCCATTTTTTATAATATATCTATTTACAATTTGTTTTGTCCATTTCGACCAGACAACTCATAAAAGATGGTCCCGGCCCTTCTGGCATTTGCCAGAATTGCCAGACGGCATAGAAATGACGTGGAAACAACTCTGATTCAACTAGTGTGTGCCCAGTGGAAGGAGTGGAATGTTAGCTAAATATAGGATCAGTCTGCACATTATAGTCAGTATCAGTAGGCTATTTGTTGGCTGTGGACAATAACTTTAACTATAGACTAGGCTAAATATAGGCTATATGAAGATTTATCACACATTGCAATGACTAATAGCTCAGCTACAGTGCCTTCGGAAAGTTTTCAGACACCTTTACCTTTTCCACATTTTGTTAGGTTACAGCCTTATTCTAAAATTGCTTAAATTGTTTTTTTCCCCCTCATCAATCTATACACAATAATGACAAAGTAAAAACAGGTATTTAGAATTTTTTTGCAATTTTTTTGCAATTTTTTTTCAAATTTATGAAAAATAACAAACTGAAATAAAACATTTACATAAGTATTCAGACCCTACTCAGTACTTTGTTGAAGCACCTTTGGCAGCGATTACAGCCTTGAGTCTTATTGGGTATGACGCTACAAGCTTGGCACAACTGTATTTGGGGAGTTTCTCCCATTCTTCTCTGCAGATCCTCTCAAGCACTGTCAGGTTGGATGGGGAGCGTTGCTGCACAGCTATTTTCAGGTCTCTCCAGAGATGTTCGATCGGGTTCAAGTCCGGCCTCTTGGTCACCTCCCTGACCAAGGCCCTTCTCCACCGATTGTTCAGTTTGGCCGGGCGGCCAGCTCTAGGAAGAGTCTTGGTGGTTCCAAACTTCTTCCATTTAAAAATGATGGTGGCCACTGTGTTCTTGGGGACCTTCAATGCTGCAGAAATGTTTTGGTACCCTTCCCCAGATCTGTGCCTCGACACAATCCTGTCTCGGAGCTCTACGGACAATTCCTTCAACCTCATGGCTTAGTTTTTGCTCTGACATGCACTGTCAACTGTGGGACCTTATATAGACGGGTGTGTGCCTTTCCAAACCATGTCCAATCAATTTAATTGACCACAGGTGGATTCCAATCAAGTTGCAGAAACATCTCAAGGATGATCAATGGAAACAGGATGCACCTGACCTCAATTTCGTGTCTCATAGCAAAGGGTCTGAATACTTATGTAAATAAGGTATTTCCGTTTTTAATTTTTAATACATTTGCAAACATTTCTAAAAACCTGTTTCGCTTTGTCATTTTGGGGTATTGTCTGTAGATTGCTGAGGATAAAAAATTAAAATAAATCAATTTTAGAATAAGGCTGTAACGTAACAAAATGTGGAAAAAGTCAAGGGGTCTGAATAGTTTCCGAAGGCACAGGCCTACATCTGTGAATTTCATCCATCTGTGAATAAATTTTTGTAGGCTCATTTATCTCCTCCTTATCAAAAATTATTATCAAAATCTTGGCAGGGGACTGTTTAGCCTACAGATTACAATATTTTTTGGGGTGACCATTTGGAACAGTGTAAACAACATTTTCTGCATTCAAATGACCTAGAGGAGTGTCCCAGTTTGATAGTAGGTGACTGGCATACTGGGACACTGTCAAAATATAAATATTCTAAAAAGGTGAGAGTAGAAAGAAAACCATTTACAGTCATTTTGATTTACAATTACATCCCATTACAAAATACACTATATATACAAAAGTCTGTGGACACCCCTTCAAATTAGTGGATTTGGCTATTTCAGCCACACCAGTTACTAACAGGTGTATAAAATCGAGCACACAGCCATGCAATCTCCATAGACAAACATTGGCAGTAGAATGGCTTTACTGAAGAGCTCAGTGACTTTCAACGTGGCACCGTTATAGGATGCCACCTTTCCAACAAGTCAGTTCTTCACATTTCTGCCCTGCTTGAACTGCCCTGGTCAACTGTAAGTGCTGTTATTGTGAAGTGTAAACGTCTAGGAGCAACAATGGCTCAGCCGTGAAGTGGTAGGTCACACAAGCTCACAGAAAGGGACCGCCAAGTGCTGAAGCGCGTAACGCATAAAAATCGTATGTCCTCGGTTACAACACTCACTACCGGGTTCCAAACTGCCTCTGGATGCAACATCAGCACAATAACGTAATGAAATGGTTTTCCATGGCCGAGCAGCTGCACACAAGCCTAAGATCACCACGCGCAATGCCAAGTGTTGGCTGGAATGGTGGAAAGTTCGCTGCCATTGGACTCTGGAACAGTGGAAACACGTTCTCTGGAGTGATGATTCATGCTCCACCATTTGGCAGTCCGACGGACGAATCTGGTTTTGGCAGATGCCAGGAGAACGCTACCTGCCAAATGCATAATGCCAACTTTAAAGTTTGGTAGAGGAGGAATAATGATCTGGGACTGTTTTTCATGGTTCGGGCTAGGCCCCTTAGTTCCAGTGAAGGGAAAACTTAACGCTATAGTATACAATGACATTCTAGACGATTCTGTGCTTCCAACATTGTGGCAACAGATTGGGAAAGGCCCTTTCCTGTTTCAGCATGACAATGCCCCCATACACAAAGCGGGGTCCATACAGAAATGGTTTTTGAGATCGGTGTGGAAGAACTTGACTGGCCTGCACAGAGCCCTGACCTTAACCCCATTGAACACCTTTGGGATAAATTGGAACGCTGCCTGCGAGCCAGCCCTAATCGCCCAACATCAGTGCCCAACCTCACTAATGCTCTTGTGGCTGAATGGAAGCAAGTCCCTGCAGCAATGTTCCAACATCTAGTGGAAAGCTTTCCCAGAAGAGTGTAGGCTGTTATAGCAGCAAAGGGGGGACCAACTCCATATTAATGCCCATGATTTTGTAATGAGATGTTTGACGACCAGGTGTCCACATACTTTTGGTAATGTAGTGTATGTTTTAATGAGACACTGATTATCATTTCCAAGTTTTTTATAACCTTAACATTATTTACCTCAGAACCCTATGTCATTTTACTTACCATTATGCCTCTAGACACGTGTCATAACACGGGATGCCACGCCCACAATGATGATGTCATACCCGTTGATTGGCATTGGTTGTTGGTTATCTTATTGTACACATTTTAAGATATCCATTACAAAGCTTAAGTGTCCCACTTTGCTAGGTGTACCACTTAACCAATACTCACCCTAAATTTGCCGGCGTTCTATAAGACCTCCCCCGTGTTCTGCCACCAATTTGCGTGCGGCAATGTTTGCATACACAGAAAGTGGTCTATGCATACCCCTCTGGATATTAAAATACGTATTTTATGCACTAGGAACATCACCCTGCCGCCAGTGGGAAGCTCAATGTGTTTGTTATATTGCTGTTACATTGCAATGCACTGACGGTATGCGCCCGTAGTGGGGATAGAATCAACCATCCATCCATCGCGCGCTGCTCCAGCATCATCATCATCACAGACAGAAATCAGCGAGCAGCTCCGGCGGTACTGACAAAGCAGCGCCTGCCACGCCGCTGCATGGACAGCCAGTACAATGGCAGAGGATTTGGGGGTGCATCTGTTTTAGCAACAACAGATAGCATGGATAATCCCGCCTCAGCCGATCCAGCTCTCGTTGTTACGATGATTTGAGCGCCGCTGTCCGCTCGCGGGGCATGATGAGGAAGGAGAGAGAGCGGTGCGGGAGCGGGTCTTCTCGTTCTGACAATAGTGTTTGAGAGGGAAACGCAAAGAAGCGTGGAACAGGTAAGTGCGTGGCGTGTCTGTATGTAGGCCTGTCCATATCAAAATACAGGGGATGCTCGCTTATGAAATCAATATGTAGATGCCTTGCACACACCATTATGCACTTGGAGAGGTTTCAATTTTGTAATCAGATAATTCCATTCGGGGTTGATAAAGCATAGGGATTGAGTATTATCTGAGATGGGTTAGATGTGCCTGACATTAGACACAACCTCGCTGTTGTGACGATGGGAAGATGCATGTGTTTATCCAGTAACGCGAATTAATTGTCGATGTCTGCGGCCACGCGGAAAAGTAATTAGCATAATACAAACATCCCCATCAAAATCTGTTTTTTTAAACTATATGTTTTTTTGTTATTGCATTGGCTGTCTCAACCCACCGCATCCGCCAATGGTGGCCTCCCTCATCTGCTGTGGAAGGTGGCCGAGTTACAGCGGTGTGTGTCAGACAATGAGACATCCCGAAAATCGGTCTTCTCACTTAAAGGTCTGTAGCGCCGAACAGTTTCGGCTACTCACTAGTATGACACCTCTATGGAAAGGCAAGACTCTCAGCTAGTCTGAGGGTAGCCGGTACCAGTTAAAATAATTAATGGAAGTATACACTAAGTATACCACAGTTGTGTCAAGTTGGCTGGATGTCCTTTGGGTGGTGGACCATTCTTGATACACACAGGAAACTGTTGAGTGTGGAAAACCCAACAGCATTGCAGTTCTTGACACAAACCGGTGCACCTGGCACATACTACCATACCCTGTTCAAAGGCACTTACATCTTGTGTGTTGCCCATTCACCCTCTGAATGGCAAACATACACAATCCATGTCTCTTCCCCTTCATCTGCACTGATTAAAGTGGATTTAACAAGTGACATCAATAAGGGATCATAGCTTTCACCTGGTCAATCTACATATGTCATGGAAAGAGCAGGTGTTCTTAATGTTTTGTATACTCAGTGTATATGGAAGTAGTTTAGTGCCAAAAATTGGGTTAAATATGGGTTTTAAAAAATCTAGTGATTTCCTGATCTTTCATATATCTTTCAGATATACACTACATGACCAAAAGTATGTGGACAAATGCTTGTCGAACATCTCATTCCAATATCATGAGCATTAATATGGAGTTGGTCCCCCCTTTGCTGTTATAACAGCCTCCACTCTTCTGGGAAGGCTTTCCACTAGATGTTGGAACATTGCTGCCGGGACTTGCTTCCATTCAGCCACAAGAGCATTAGTGAGGTCGGGCACTGATGTTGGGCGATTAGGCCTGGCTCGCAGTCAGCGTTCCAATTCATCCCAAAGGTGTTCGATGGGGTTGAGGTCAGGGCTCCGTGCAGGCCAGTCAAGTTCTTCCATACTGATCTCGACAAACCATTTCTGTATGGACCTCGCTTTGTGCACGGGGGCATTGTCATGCTGAAACAGGAAAGGGCCTTCCCTAAATTGTTGCCACAAAGCTGGAACCACAGAATCATCTAGAATGTCATTGTATGCTGTAGCGTTAAGATTTCCCTTCACTGAATCTAAGGGGCCTAGCCCGAACCATGAAAAACAGCCCCAGACCATTATTCCTCCTCCACCAAACTTTACAGTTGACACTGCATTCTGGCAGGTAGCATTCTCCTGGCATCCGCCTAACCCATATTCGTCCGTCGGACCGCCAGATGGTGAAGCGTGATTCATCACTCCAGAGAACGCGTTTCCACTGCTCCAGAGTCCAATGGCGGCGAGCTTTACACAACTCCAGCCCGATGCTTGGCATTGCGCATGGTGATTTTAGGCTTATGTCCAGCTGCTCGGCCATAGAAACTCATTTCATGAAGCTCATTTCATGAAGCACAGTTCTTGTGCTGACGCTGCTTCCAGAGGCAGTTTGGAACGCGGTAGTGAGTGTTGCAACCGAGGGCAGACAATTTTTACGCGCTACGTGGTTCAGCACTCGGTGGTCCCGTTCTGTGAGCTTGTGTGGCCTACTACTTCACGGCTGAGCCGTTGTTGCTCCACTTATAGTTGACCGAGGCAGTGCTAGCATGGCAGAAATTTGACGAACTGACTTGTTGGAAAGGTGGCATCCTATGACGGTGCCATGTTGAAAGTCACTGAGCTCTTCAGTACGGGCCATTCTACTGCCAATGTTTGTCTATGGAGATTGCATGGCTGTGTGCTCGATTTTGTACACCTGTCAGCAACGGGTGTGGCTGAAATAGCCGAATCCACTAATTTGAAGGGGTGTCCACCTACTTTTGGCCATGTAGTGTAGGACAGACGCTTTAAAACAAACTTCCTTTTGATTTCTTTTTTGACTATCTGTTTTTCCATGTATGAATCTGTTATTCAATGGGCTATGGGCTGATAGCAGTAAAGCCAAATTCAGTGTTTCATCATATAATGTTTTTAGTTACTGTATATATTTTATACCTAAAGGGGTCCTAAAATTCTAAATTAAATAGCTAAAACTTCCTTGATATGACCATCTTAAAACAATTCCATATGTTAACTTAGTTGTCATAAACCTCCCCTGAGCCATAACATCGACAACACCTAAGGTAGGATATTATACCAAGACAAACATGATGCTGGTGAAATGTAATATCCACATAGCCCAGTTTGACACTGCTCTATATCTGGGGCCTTACATCATCATACAAATTCCCAGTGTGGATATTTTAGGAAACAGGGTCGGAGGAGACCGGAGGGAAAAGATTTGGCACTGCCAAGAAAAGGCATGGCAGTGAGTGAGTGAGCGACGAGGTGGAGTCCTGGAGCGAATAATAGTCCACAGATTAAAAAATACAGAGGGCTCACTGTCCTGTCGAGAACTGACCCAAGCACTGCCTGGCAGTGGAACCAAAATATCAGTATGATGGTGCTAAATCTGAGGGAGGGATCCAGACCAGCAGCTAGGCACTGAATGTGAGGCAGCTCCAAGAGACTGCCTAGTGTGACACTGTAACTTTAGATTATTCTATTGATGGAGTGAATGGTCTCTGGAGAACCTCTGATGTCAAAGGTCATCCCTGGCGAAATAATGGATTAGAAGAAAGATGAATGTAAAATAATTACAAATGTGACACCATTTTGAGGAGTAGACGACCATAATGATGCTCTGAAGCTACACTGTTGACTTTACTGATAGACGTTTCTCAGATAATCTGTCTGGATAATGGACCACCTGTCTGTCCTGCTGCTCTTAGTGTGATGATCGCGGTACAGAATATTCTGAGTAGTCTGAATTTAGAATAATCTCAGTCTGGATGGACGTCTCTAGTTTTTCCTCTGTAATCTCATGAACTCTGTAATGTTTCCACTGTAATCTGTTGCAGATTTCACTCAGGCAACGATCTTCTCTCCCTCTTCAGGTGGACTGTGGCTTGAGGTCCTGCAAAATGGATATAGATCCCTGTTTGCGGTACTATTTCCAGCACCCCTGGTCTCGTCTGTTTGTGGCCTACCTCGTCACCTTCTGCAACTTCCTTATCTTCGCTGAGGACCCTGTCTCCCACAGCCAGACAGAGGCTCACATGATCGTGGTGGGAAACTGCTTCTCCTTCATAGTGAACAAGTACCCTGGTGGAGGATGGAGTGTCCTCAAAGTCATGTCGTGGCTGATGGCCATTGTCACCGGAATGTTTGCAGGGAAGTTCATATTCCACCGCAGGCTCTTTGGTAAGTCATCAATCAATCAATCAGTCAAATGTATTTATAAAGCCCTTTTTATACAGAACCCAGCCTGAAACCCCAGAGAGTCGGCAATGCAGATGTAGAGGCACGGTGGCTAGGAAAAACTCCCTAGAAAGGCAGGAACCTAGGAAGAAACCTAGAGAGGAACCAGTCTCTGAGGGGTGGCCAGCCACTTCTGGGGAGCCTTAATGAGGAATGCAGACCTAAAAAGACAGCTGAAAAGTATTTGGTCATTTTAGGGTTAGGATAATGGTTAGAGTGGCAAAGAAAACCACCTGATATGCTAAACACTGACACTCATACACAAACACAGAGCGTACATAGACTCTGAGGGGATCATGACTCTATTCCATGTGCTGCTCTATAAATATTGAATGGTGCAGGAAAGAGAAAATGTCTTGATTCCCATTATGTTTCCTCTATGCGTTGAATAGGTATCTGATAATGTAGCTACTCTGTCCTTGCACATCTTTCAAGCCTTAATCTATTGAATTACCCTATGAATTACCTGGATGACTCCACCATTTACTTTTAGACTAAAACTAAATGTCAGAGTTTGAAGCCATTTATCTTTTTCCCTCCTACGCAAAAGCAAGCATCTTAAATGCATTTACAGCACCACAGTTGTGTTGATCTTTCAGAATTGCTAGGATTATTATGTCTTCAATCGGCACTCAGCATGGCTTTCCTTTGAAGGCAGTCTATTCAGGTCAGAGTTTTACACTTAAAGCCCAGGGCTTCAGGGCACATAGCTGGAACAGAGAGCAGAGTAGACCTCCATCTCTCTCTCTGGAGCTGGAGCCAGGTAGGACCAATGCACTTCACAGGCCACAGAGTAGAGCAGCGCAGGGCACAGAGTGCAGGAGGAACAGATGGTGTGTGCATCTGCGTGTGTGTTTGTGGGCTTGAGTGAGTGTGAGATAGGGAGAAGCAGGGGGAGATGGACATGGAGAAATGGAACATGAAGAGCGATGGTGAGCGACAGAGGGGGGTTCAGCACAACATTTTTGCAATGGCGTTATGTAATCCTAAAAATGAGAGATGAGCAGAGCGCAGAGAAGAGCCACTGATGCCCACAGGGACTTTATGTGTTGAGAGATATCATCCATTATGTATCAGTAACACCGCCACAGGACCACTATGCCCATTCTACCCCATCCTACTGAACACTTAGCTGCATAAAGAAGATAGAGCTCTCTATAGAGCACTCTGCAGCTCCTCTTCTCTCCTTTACTACCTACACTACAACATGGTAGGCATTTAAGTACAAGTACAGTAATGTCTCATTTATGAAGAATAAATATGAGAACTTCACAGTGTATTTATAATAGTAATGAGAGTCATTTGTCCAATAAATGCCAAGCTTTTTATCTGGTCACTGATATTTCAACTTATTCTTTGTTTATTTGTTTTATTTTTCCAAATGAAGGCTCTTGTCTTTCTTGCATAATAGATGAAGTTATTCATGCTGCTATTTACATTTGTGTTCAACTATGTATCAATTTGTAACTAAATGGAAACCAGACATTGTGTTGCTTGCTGACACATTCCACTGCATCATTTATCATGGCCTAGAAAAAAAATCTGAATTTCACAACCACTCATTTTATGGTGAATTACACCAACTCCTCCCACTGGCGATGTCACTTTTTCACAGAGGACTATATGCAATACGCAATTTACCCAGAACCCACTCATACATGAATCCATTTGTGACACAATACTTTGTTCTCATTCCAAATATTCACTGCTTTTGTTTTTGTTAGCAATAACGTTGTCTGCTACCTAGTGGAATGATAGGAGGTGGATGGAGATCACATTGGGTTTGGTTTTTATTCTCCGGTTGCACAGCCAGCCACACTGCACACAACACAAGGTGATAGATGGTTAGTGACAGACTATGTGGGTTAAGACTACCTCCCAGGCACATAGACAACCGATGCAAATTCACCCAGCCACTAAAGGCTATGTGCTCTCCCATTTGAGTGGCATGTCTTCTTGTCATTCAGTGAGAGCTTGTCTGTCTCTGTGCCTTTGTTATTACAACAAGGACATGGGGAATTGGATTTGTCTGCCCATGTGAGGTTGTATGCACAGTATTGTATTCAATTTTTATGCTACGTTTTCTGTGTTGTAAACCAGTAGGCATACATACAGCATACCTTTTCCCTTTCCTCCCTGATCCAGCACAGCACTCAGTATTTCATGCTTACAGCCTTCATTGTAAAACAAAGCACCTTTTCATCAAGGTAATGGAATGGAACCTGCTTCTCATTCCATGTTGTGCTGCACCAGTTTCAGATTAACATAATGTATACACCTTTGTTTCCTGTGCATTTTCCAAGGCTTGTGTTCTCAGTGAATGTTTAGCATCCTACCAGGAGTTGGTATATCCCACTGACCATCTTTGATTCAGTACTATGAGCACAGTGCTTCTTTGCTTTGAGTCATCACGGTGGATTTTCCAGCTCACACAGCTGCTCAGAATAGTATAAACCCGCTTGAGAAAATACTGAAATGGGAGACCCAGTATTTTGGGGAGACTTTGATGGTTGAAGATATTTTGAAGTTAACATCAATGCCCTGCAGTGAATGTGTGACTACTGCCTATGGTTGTTCCATTGTTAAAGCGTTCTTGGCTTATGAACACTCCTCCTGCCTGATCCTGATCCTTGACTGTAGCTGTAGCCTCAGGGATGCCATCTGGATTCTCTCACATGTTACAGTAGTGCATTATGGGTAAGATGGCCCTGTGCTGTGGTGGCCAAAGGTCAGAGTTTGCTTGAGCATGTGGGTTTAAGTGTGTGTGTTTGCATACGTGTGTGTGTGTGTGTGTGTGTGTGTGTGTGTGCCTGCCTCTGTGTTTGTGTGTGTGTGTGTACACATCTGAAACACAGCGTATAACCCTATGCCTCCTCGTTGTTTCTTCTGTTTAATACACAGCAACAGTTCAGTTCAGACCTCCCTATGTTAGTTGTCACTCGGAGGCTGGCCTTTCACAGTAAATAATAGAGGATTGAACCAGTGCCTGGACTCAACTATTTAAGACATGGACCAGCAGGCTGGCTGCTGTGTATAGACGGATGGGTTGTAATGTACTATTGATGTTTATAGCAGAGCATTGAGCAGAGGGGAATCTGCCACAATCTGAGACAGTAGCTCTTTCTTACATTGGTATGTTGTTGTTTTAGAGTGAATGTTTTTTAAATGTTTTTCTGTTTGATGCATTTTGCATCAAACAGCATGAGAGAGCTGATTGTCCAATACGCTATCTTTAGCAGAATCTTAAATGTGTCCATGATCTATTATGTGTCCAGGATCTATTGTAAACAGTGAAGTTGTTCATCCACAAGACTGGTTTATACTAAAAACATGAATAAGTAACCTCCTTTTTCACCAGCTTTTGATCATTACATATCAACATTAGATGTCACTCTTGTACATTTGTCTTATAGTCAGACAATTAAAAGTAAAACAAAAGTGTTTTATTCATAAAGTAAAGTAATTCGAAACATCTATCTGCTTTGAATGAAAGATAAAACAGTCCAGGTGTTTGCAAAACCCAGAGAGAGAGGGAGAGATTGAGAGTGTGAGAGAGCGGAGGCAAACAATAAATTGGGCAAAGGAAATTGCTTGTTTATTTAAGATGAATGATGTCTTTCTATTTGGTACATACTGTAGCTCTTATGACTGGGGAAATGATTTAACAAACCTTTCTGACAGTAATCAGACGTCTCTGTTGAAACAGCCCCGGCTAGACACTGGAACAGCTGCTTTCCATCTCCCATTTGAGGGAGGGAGGGAGGGAGGGAGGTAGTCTGACTCTTGCAACGTCTGTCCGCCTGTCTCTGATTTATTGGGGAGACTTGTAGTTACCGTGGGCTGCCGCTCTGGGGACCGTGGCAACGTTGTCATGGTAATTTCCATGGCGAGTGTGACGCCGTGGCCATGGTAACACAGCTGCCGATGTAATGACAGGGGGCTGCGGTGTGAACTCTGTGATACCCAGGCGGAGCAGGGCAGGCGGAGCAGGGCTCTCTCCTCTCTTATCCAGCCCATCTGGGTTTGTCAGAGGGAAGCAAGTTGTTTGTTCTAGGGTCCCTAAGGAGGGCAGTAACTGTTATGTATGTGTGTGAGTGGACTAACAACCACTTTGAAGGTGCAATACCCCAAAACAGAACACCCAGTTGTAGACCCATCAGCATGTAAATGAATTGGGTTATACAGTATATAATGTGTGGCATGGAAAAGGAGAAGGTGTAACACTGCAACATTCTAACAGTGTAATTCATATATTTCATATATGCTATCGCAAAAATAATCATTTGGTTGTGTTTATGAAGGTCTTAGATTTATTTTATTATTCTAATGTTACCTAACACAAAAGCATTTATTAGTTTGTTATTGTAGGTTATGTAAAAACACAAAACGCAAAAAAAAAAAACACAATTCAAGTGTTAAATACATTTTATTCGTGGAGTGCCTTTGTTATAAACACCAAGATCAATACAAAAGCAATAAAGACCTTATAATTAATGTGTCTATGACAGCAGTCAAAAATAGTACATTATTGTCAGCTCGTGCTTACATGGTGTGCGTCTTCACGTGGCATCAGTTGGAGCATATCCATGTCACATAAACAACAAAAGATGGTGAGTGTGTTTCTTATGTTGTTTTTTGCTTGAGATGTAGGGCCTGCTCTCTCAGTGATGACATTTTGTGCTGATAATTTGGCCCGTAGCATTGTCACCGGCTTGTTCAATCCAAACGGTGCCGTCCCTCCTCTCTCACCGTTTAATTTGGTGGTGGCGTGGGCACATGCTCAGTGCGCACCGTTCTGGCTTAGGTCTCGGAGGTGTAGGTTCAGAATCAGAAGAATAATCATCAGATGTCATGATTAATTTCTTCCCTACTATCTGAGTCGTTTTCATTCAGATTTTGTAGCAACGCTAACGCAGCATGTGCATCCATTCGTCTTGGTCTTCTTGCCATTGTAAATTATTCACGCTCTCACTGTGTAGTCCAAGTAGGCCAGAGTAGACTGATAAGACTGCTTGGATTCAGTGGACTGATATAGGGTACATACCATTTTGAGATTATAATTAGAATCGTTAAATACAATAGAATGGCCGCCCTGTTCTTCATTCACAATTGGTGATTACATAATTATACATTGTTCGCTTCCCCTCGCTTATCAGCTCACCCATTCACCCCCTTTCACCTCCATCATACTTCATTT